AAAATAAAGACTCCCGAGTAACCAAATAGAGGTGTAAAGTATATGTGCTGTGGTCTATGAATTAGACTCATGAATCAGTCAAGTTTCCAGTTTATTACAGCACATTTTTATTGTTTTCGTATCAGAAACTCTTAGTATCAGAGGCCTCAAATTACAAGAAGGGGGCAAAGGCTTTGAAAGACAGACACTTAAGAGAACCAAGAAATGATGGTATCTTTCCTAAACCCTGGGCAGAGAAAAGGGAACTATGAAAAAACAGATACAAAAGCTCAAAGGAGCAGAGCAGTTTGGACAATCATGGGATACTGTAGCAATCTATGTTCACATTAATGATTCTTGAATAATGATTAAATTTTGTTAGGTTTACCAAGTCACTAGCATGAAAAGACCAAAGGATACATAGTGCTCAGAATGAGAAATCTACATGGCCCTTAAAATATGAAAAGATGCTCATAAACCTCACTCATACTAAGAAAGCTGCAAATTAAAAGTAAATGAGATGAAGACAAATTACAGACTGGGAGAAAATATTTGCAAAACCAAGATAAAGGACTTATATTTAAAACATACAAATAATTCTTAACACTCAATAATAAGAAAATGAACAACTTAATTAAAAGGCAGGCAAAAGATCTGAAGACACCTCACCAGAGCAGATGGCAAGCAAGCATACTAAAAGGTGCTCAACGTCATTAGAGAAATGCAAATTAAAATGTGCAGCGATAACAGTGAGCTATCACTGCACGTCTATCAGAAGGGCTAAAATCCAAAATGTTGACAGCATTAAATGCTGGCAAGAATGTGAAGCAACAGGAACTCTCATTAAATGCTGTTGGGAAATCAAAATGGTATTGTCACCTTGGAAAACAGTTTGGCAGTTTCTCACAAAGCTAAACATAGCCTTGCCATACAATCCAGCAAACTTGCTCCTAGATTTTTATCCAAATGAGTTGAAAACTTATGTCCATAAGGCCGGGCACAGTGACTCATACCTGTAATCCCAGCTCTTTAGGAGGTCGAGGTGGGCGGATCACTTCAGGTCGGGAGTTCGAGACCAGCCTGACCAGCATGAAGAAACCCTGTATCTACTAAAAATACAAAAAATTATCTGGGCATGGTGGCGCATGCCTGTAATCCCAGCTGAGGCTGAGGCAGGAGAATGGCTTGAACCAGGGAGGCAGAGGCTGCGGTGAGCCGAGATTGTGCCATTGCACTCCAGCCTGGGCAGTAAGAATAAAACTCTGTCTCAGAAAAAAAAAAAAAAGAAAAATGACAAAGAAAACTATATCCACATAAAACATTGCACATGAATGTTTATCACAGTTTTATTCATAATTGCCCCAAATTGGTAGCAAACAAGATATGCTTTAAAAGGTTAATGGATAAACGAATTGTGGTACATCCAGACAATGGAATAGCATTCAACACTAAAGAAATGAGCTGGTAAGCCATGGAAAGGCATGTAGGAAACTTAAATGCATATTACTAAGTGAAAGGAGCAAGTTTGAAAAGGCTCTATATTGTATGTTTCTAACTATACAACATCTTGGAAAAGGCAAAACTATGAAAACAGTAAAAAGATCAGTGGTTGCCAGGGGTTCTAGAGGGGAGTGCAAAGGAGGACTGAATAGGTAGAGCACAGGGGACTTTCAGAACAGCGAAGATACTCAGTATGCTACTACAACGGCGGAAACATGTTATACTTGCCCAAACCCATAGAATGTATAATACCAAAAGTGAACCCTAATTCAGTTAAAATAATATATCAATACTTGTTTATCAGTTATAACAAATATATCACACTAAAGAAAAGGGAGGATGCAGAAAAAGTCACAAGAAAAATGAAAATGGTAAGAAAGAAAGTTTTATAATTCTCATATCAGACAAAATAAAATTCAAACCAAAGCATATTAGAAGCACAGAGAATGTGGCTTTATAAAAGTCACATTCCACAATAAAATATACATTTTAAAAACTTAAATGCACTAGTATCCTTTACTTGCTGACTCTCAAAAATTTTAAAGAAAATTTGGTTGTATATTGCATTGGTGACGATGTGGGGAAAGGAGTTCTCCCATACAGTGATAACAAGAGAAAGAAATTGATGCAAACTATGAAAGGTGATGTGATAATAGTTATCGCAATGACAAAAGCACATATCCCTTCTTGGAGCCAGCAATTCTCTTCTGGAAATTTAACCTACAAATATATTTGAATGTGTGCAAAATATGGAGTAAATAGATTAAAACTGCAGCATTTTAAAAAATAGCAAAAGATTGAAAATAACTAGATGCTCATCAGTAGGAGACAGATTAATTAACTAATGCTGCATCCATACAATGGACCAGATGTTGCCATTACATAGAATGAGGCAGCTTTTTGTGTATTGATGAAAAACGATGATCAATACATAAGTCCTTAAAAGACAAGGTGTCGTAGAGCACCGTGGCATGCCACTTTCAGGCTTGTGTACATGTAGATTATCACAGGAAGGACATGTGTGTAGCTTGGTAATGGTGGCACCAGTAGCCTCTGTTAGGCATGGGGAAGTGAGCGCTGTAGTGCTGGGATAAGAGAAAGACTTAATGATCACTCTCTACCCTCTTGTTTCTATCCTAAAAAATATATATATATAAATAATTTTAAAATAAAGAGAGCAAAAGGGTGTATAATAAACTTTGGGATGTTTCCATTGACTCTTTTAAAAATGTTGATCTTTAAAATGTTGGTTAGCTCTAGTTATCTGGACAATTTAATTATGTGGAACACCTCATTTCCTGACAATGCTGAATGGATAAGGCATTACTCTGGTTTGCTGACTTATGCACAATTATAGAGTTACCATTATCATCATAGCACAAAAGACACTGGAATTTAGAACAAAGCATGGGGATACTTTTCAACAAAGGCATTAAGGCAGAAGGAGAGTGGAGAAAATGGAGAGTCTGTAATTCTCGCACTGGTGGAGGGATGGAGGCAGAATGAACAAAATCTGGGAGTCTTGGTGAAGTGCTGTGCTTCTGCGCCTCACAGGCAAGGCTCTGTCCACTCAACAGCACAGCTGGCTGCTGCCTTCCTGGGAAGAAACCCTGACAAAAAGAAGGGGTGCTTTGGAGGGATTGGAAAGAAGGCAGGGAGACTGAATCCTGGCATCAGCTCTGGCATGGCACAGGACTCAGGCATTTGAACAATACCCACCACACACAGACTCAAGTGTGAAGCAACCACCTTGACAGAATAGAGCAGAAGTTGATCATCAGGCTGGTAGAGATTGTAGAGTGATTCCTCCAGCCTGTTTTTAAAATATGGGTGTTTCATATACCAATTCTTATTTTTAGCTTTGTTTAAAAAATTGGAAAATCTAACAATATGAGGCCCACTTTCCTTGCATGTTAACAACACACTGGAGCAGAGCAGGGAAAATGTCTCTCTTTACACGGAACACCAGCTTAGCAGGTAATTGTGGTCCCCAGCACTCTCTCTCACCCTACACATCTCACTTCATTACTTGCTGGCCTCTATGGGCATTTTTATTTGCAGGTCCTAGACTAGACTTGGAAAGGGTTGTTTTGCAAAATTGTCTCAGAAGCAGAAGATGCTTGAATAGATTTTGAAAGGCATAAAATAGTGGCTTTGGGGATTGGATATGCAAGGCGGATAGAGAAAAGCTTCCTGCAAGACCAAAGTATTTCCTCTTGTCCAAAAACTGGACCAAGCACAGGGCACCTATGATTTGGGGAGATGATGGATGATGTTGAGTGAGAAAGTGAAAAAAGATAAAATCTTAGTAAAAATATTTACTGAGCTCCTACTCTGTGCCAGGCATTTTATAGAAGCACATCAGTGAACAAGACGAATGGTTTCCTACCTCACAGGGCTTACAACTTACCAGTGGAGGTAGCCAGTCAATGAGAAAACATATTATTACATGTCAGTTTACAAACTATAGCTAGCACTATAAAAGACATAGACAGAGTGTTGTTTTCATAGAGAATTGTAGTGAAGGTGGTCAGGGAAGGTGGGATGGAAGCTGAGGCCTGAATGATGAACAGGCTCGGCTAGATGAGAAATGGGATCAAGAGGAAGCAACAGAATGTGCAAAGGCCCCACCATGGGAGGGGAGTATTTCAGAGGCTGGAAGAACAACCAGACAGCCCCCAGCCTAGTGAGTAAGGAAGAGAGTGGTATGGGATGACGCTGGAGAAGCAGCAAAATCAGACCAGAGGTTTCTTATTACTATTTTTTGGGGGGACAGAGTCTTGCTCTGTTTCCCAGGCTGGAGTGCAGTGGTATGATCTCAGTTCACTGCAACCTCCACCTCCTGGATTCAAGAGATTCTCCTGCCTCAGCCTCGTGAGTAGCTGGGATTAGAGGCACCAGCCATCATACCCGGCTAATTTTTGTATTTTTAGTAGAGATGAGTTTTGCCATATTGGCCAGGCTTGCCTCGAACTCTTGACCTCAAGCGATCCACCTACCTTGGCCTCCCAAAGTGCTGGGATTACAGGCATGAGACACAGCGCCCAGTCAGACCACATCTTTCTGAGTGAAAAGAGCTGTACTCTACCCTGAGAGGAAGCTTCAGAGGAGTGTTAAGGATAAGAATGACACGATGCAATGCACACGTCTAAGGGACTGGAGCAAGCACCCCAAGAAAAGAGAAGACAGAGCAACACGGAAGGGAGGCAGCGAAAGAGTTAGCAGAGCCGCCAGTGCCCGCTCCTGCGTCCTTTCAGCTGTCCACAGCTAGCAGCAGAGCACAGTTTTAGCTCCTCCCCTCTTGACGTCCTGCCACCGCCCTCTCCCGGGTTTCTCTTTCATCTCTACTCTTGGTGCTCCTGTTTCAGAACTTTCCCCTATAGTAGAATGTGGAGGGAGAGTGGCTGGCTCCCCTTCTCTTTTCCTCCCTCTCCTGCAAACACATGCCCTCCCCTACACACACACACACACACACACCCCTCTGTGAGAGTGCGCACACACAGTGATTTCAGATAGCTGCATGGATAGGAATGGCTGTGCAGGTGCAAAGAAGCAGGTGGAAGAGCTCTGCCCAGCTACAGCGAAGCTGTGGGCCTGAGCTGAGTGAGGCCAGCTGTTAGGTAAGGCAGCGCTAGTTGGTAGTGGGTCTTGAAGCCTGAGACTAGAGGAGTTTTAATATGATTTGGGAGACAACTGGGAGCCTTTATGGGCAAGCAAAGAGGAGAGCAACGTGATCTAAGTGACGCTGGAGGAAGATGATTCTCAATGATGTGTGTCCAATAGAGGAGAGGAGACCCCCAGGCTGGAGGAAGGGGAGCTAATTGGGAGGCAGGAGTCCAGGTGTGAAGCGATTATGGCTCGGACCGGAGCCCTGGGAAGGCGAAGGAAGACAGAAGAAGAAACGGTAGGATTTAATGTTGAGCAGAAAGTGCCTCTGGGGTTGTGCTGGGGTGGGAGATGTGCTGCAAAGATGAGGAAATAAGATACTGGGAACTCAGTTAACAGTAAATGGAAACTAGAAAATGATTTGGGCAGTGAGATAGGAAGAACAAAGGTAAGAAGGCAGGGTGCCATTACATGGGAGTTGGTACTAGAGCCAAGAGAAACATTTCACAGCCCACACGATATCATGCCTGTGGGAAGCTGTGCCTCCCCTCCCCTCGCCTCCCACCTTGGATGGTCAATTACTTTCTTCCATATTTGTATCTGCTTCTGTTCTTGTATCAAGCACGAATCTGTGTTGTAATACATCGTTGTCTGTCTATGCCTGCTACTAATCTGTGAGCTCTCTAAAGACAGAGGCACTATTTTACTTCCTTTCAACTCCCAGGGCTTAGTCAGCACAGGGACCAGCCCTTCGCGAGCACTCAACACGTTTTGGTGAATGAGTAAATGAATGAATGGAAACTTTCCAGAGGCCTGACATTGAACCCCAGCCACAGCACAACTCTGTGAAACATACAAATTTTGTGGCAGCTGCAGCATCCCTCAAACACTTGTGGAGATCAGGTTACAGCTGAGAGCCTCACAAAGCCGCAGCCATTGCAGCAATTGACAGGTGGTCTTAGAAGAAAGACTGGGAAGGAAGACTGGGATTGGCAGACAGGAGGCTGGAGTAGTTAAGATAGTGCTGTGGGGATTTGAGATCAAATTGCAGGGTTGTTTAAACACCTTAGGGTTACAAATGAGTTTTTACCCTTAAAATCCCATTTGCAAATATGTGGCCTTAAATTGTCCAAGTAGCTATCTTAATGATGTTAAATCCCTGGTTGGTTGAGGCCATAGGAAGGGCCTTGCATATTTTCATCCTGTTCCTTTCACTAAATTTACATTTGTATTACAATGAACTGTGAAAACTGGAAAATACATAAAAACAAACCTTTCCCAACCACATGCTATGCCACCAGCCAATATCAACTAAATTTGTTAAACTTTCTAGATAACTACCATTTATTCAGAAGTCAGCTTTTACTATGTGACAATCACTGGGTTGTATATATCTTATAGTATAACATTTAATATTCACAAATGCATGAGATAAGCACTATTGCTCCCATTTTATAGATGAGCAATCTGAGGCTTACGGAAGTTAAATTACTTGTCTACTGGGTATATGATACTATGAGCTCATCATTTGGTTGTGCAGCCTTCCACACAACCACAAGAGAGACAAGTCTGGGAAAGACTGAAGGCAGGGCTGCAAAGAGAGCTGGGGGTTGTCTGGAAATGATCAGGAATGGGAACCACTGGTAGCCCAGTCCTCCCAGAGAGCACATGCAAAGGGAGAGCAGTGCTGTAGGCCACACTTTAGAGTAGGTCCCTGGGGAACACCCTGGGAAGTAGAAGACAGGACAGCATGGGGACAAATGACTTTTCCAAGGAACAGTTGGGAGGTCCACTTGAAGATCACAAAAGTCCCTCTGCAGCCTCAACACACTGGTAGCAGGGATCCTAGCTTCTACCTTGTTTATTCCCACCTATCCCTTCCCTATCTGGCTTGGGATTTAAAGGGAACACGGACTTTGGAGTTTGTTATACTTAGGCTCAGATTGCAGCTCCATTCCTGTTGGCAATGTGACATTGGGTAGGATACTCAGCCTTTTTGAAACGGCCTCCTTACCTACATCATGAGGTTAATGAACCTGCCTCACTAGCTTTAGATTTGACAAGATTACCCCAAAACTTAAGTGTATTAAAATGATAAACAGTTATTACCTCAGTTTCTGTGGGTTGGGAATTTGGGAGCTGTTTAGTTGGGTGGTTTTGGCTCAGAGGCTGCAGTCAAGATATTGGCCATGGGTATGATCATCCGAAAGCTTTCTGGGGCTGGAGGATGTGCTTCCAAGATGGCATGCTCACATGGCTTTTGGCAGGAGGCCTCACATCCATGCCGTGGTGCCTCTTCATAGGGCTGATTGAGTGTCCTGACACTTTGGTAACTGGCGTCCCCCACGATAAACAGTCCCAGGAGAGCAAGGAGGAGGCCATAGTGTCTCAAAAGTCAGGCACCATGACTTCCACCATTTTCTGTTCATTAGAAATAAATCATCAAATTCAGCTCACACTCTAGGGGGTGGAATTTAGTTTCCAGTTTTTGAAAGGAGAAGTACTGGGGAATATGTAGACATATCTTAAAACCAATAGAGCTAACATTTTCCCCAAGTCCAAGGATTACCCTGGTGGCCTAGAGTCACATTCAGAGGGGACTAGAGACGAAGCCTGGGGCTCTGAATAAAACATCACCCTTGAAGGGCTATACCCTCAGTAGGATAACCTGCCTCATAGAGTGACATTTGTCTGCCTGAACTTTTGCTTGGGGGATCTGGGCCCACATTCATCCTATCTCAATGGACTAAAAACCCAAATGAATTCTGTGGTTAAAAATAACTCCAGGTTGATTAGGCCTCTCTCTGAAGAACACAGTCCTCAAAAAATTATTATAAATAAAGTTTCAGGGAATATGAGATGATGATTAAAAATTGCTAAAAACATGATAAAATCAGCAACATGAACAAGAGACAAGAAAGCAACAAGAAAGGACAGGCTACCCCCACAGGAAGCATGATCAAATTGACTGCCAACTTCTCATGGTCAACGCTGGAAACCAGCTGACGATGTTACAGTACATGTGCATGTGTTTATTTCAGATGTTCTTTAGCTGGAGCTCGGGGAAAGGCTGGAGTAAGTAGCAGTCAATCTAGAATCTGCACTCGGAATCGTAAAACATGAAGGGATATAACAGTGAAAGTGGCAAAAGCTCATTTATTTGCCTTCCAAGAAGCCAATGAAACCCAAAGAATGGCACAAAAACAGCAAAACTGCACTTTCTTTTGCCATTTTGATGGCAAGGGATAGATTTGTCCATGTCCAGGACATATAGAAACCTCCAACTACCGAAGGCCAACAAGGGCAATAGTAGTGAAACAATGAAGGGCAAACAATTGCCCTTTAGCATGTGACTTTTCACACAGTGCCTGCAGAAATTCATCTGAGGGTTTTAAATTGAACTTATTCAAAACCCAAAAGAGATATAGATGTTTTATTTGATGGGAGCTATTTTGTTGATGATAGAACAGGTGAAAAGATCTTAGGAGACAACATAGTTAAAACTTCTAATTTTAAAGGGCAGGAAACTAATTCCCAGAGAGGAGAAGCAATTTATTTATGGCTAGATTTACACAGATCAGAAACCAAGTTTCTGGTATGTCTTGCTGGATTATTTTTCCCATGAGACATAGAAGAGTTAAGTATCCAAATAAAAGCAGTACCTCAGCCATGATCTCCAATGCTGTGATTTCTTGCTCCTTGTTCCTCATTCAAGTCCAGGCAGTGCAGAAGGATGTCTTGGATGAGCCAGTGGGGGCGTCCTGAAAGCCTGCTCTTGGCTGGAGAATCTTGGTCAGCCAAGACCAAGATCAGGACCAACTACCTATCCAGGACTCTGCAGGAATGTTGAGGGAATTGGGTCTTATTTTTGTTATTTTTCCAGTTAATCATGTAAATGTTACCTATTTAGTGCACTTGGCATTCAAATTAGATTAAATGGTAACAATGATTTGCATTCCATACTGTTCAGTGAAGAGAAGACAGTAACTTACAAGAGTTACAAAGTATTCACACAAACAGGACATTCTCCTTGTTCTGAATCCCTTATATTTTCTTTACTTGGATTTGAAACTGTGTGGAGCAGACATGCGCTTTGTATACACCTCCCTCCCTGTGTGTTTCATCCTAGAGTATGTATTGAATATACCTTGATACATTTGCATTCCAAGAAAATGGTTAGCTGTGCTGGTTATATGTTGAACATAACTTGATACACTCCATAAACCCAGGTTTCACTTTCTCTGCCTGATTCTGGGACATACTGAGCCAGTGTTTCACTAGGGAGCTGGACCCATGAAACCAGGAGACCTGGTAATCAAGGGTTGTATGACACACAAAGCCCTGTCAGTTACCCTGATCAGTATCACACATTGTTTTAGGAACTTTCTCTAAGGCAAAATCCTCCATCCCATGTTGGGCTGCCCACCAAATCACTAGAAGACTACTTCATTTTACTAACGATGAACTTGGTTTGGGTTTCTTATTATTTTTGTTTCCTGGAGCCCAGTAGCCACAGTTTCATAGGAATCAAATGAGAAAAGAGGGCAAGTCGGAGTGGAATTTTCCCAGCCTCTGTTTTTCTTGCAAGTGCAGATTCCCTGGCTGGGGTCTGCCTGTAGCAGCCTGCAGAAATTTTGACCTGAGTAAAAGAGGAAATGTTGTGCTCAGAGGGGCATAGTTATTCTAGGAGAAGGTGCTCTGTAGTAACCGCAAAGCCCTGCGTGTAAGTGGCTTATTAAAGCTCATGTCCTTTCAGGCAACCCTGGAACTCTTCCTCCCCAGCCCTTTTCTCATGTCCTCTCCCTTTCCCCTCTGGCAAGGACTTTCTGACATAGAACATGCTCTTTTCTCCTAGAAAGTGGTCAGAGCTTCTTTTTCATTCTGAACATAGATTTGCATGGTTTAAAAAATAAATCCAAAAGAATAAATTGGAATAGACCTTCTGGAGGGAAACTGCAATATGTATCAAATCCCAAAAAGCAATTACATTTGGGGGAATCTATCCTGAAGAAACAATCAAGCTCATGCATAGAGGTCTAAGTGCAAGGATATTCATCATGGCTTTGTTCTTGTGAAAGTAAAAACAATGAGATTCCAGTGTTACTGCTGAGTGGGGTCGGGCAACACCTCTCCCACCTTATTTGCACCAGCATTCACTAGTTTCAGAGGCTAAACACAAGGCTAATTGAAGAGCTGAAGAGCCTCTTGGGATAAAATACTTAAAACCATGTCAGTTTTTTTTTTTGAGGTTGAGATATAGGCAGACATATCTGGTGAATGTGGCTCTGGTGAATGTGC